TCGTTAGGGGTCATTTGTAATATATCCCTCTTATCTTCCTAATCCTCATTTCTTACCATTCATATCACACATCTCTCATCATCATCATTTTGACTACAGACACCCCCCACCCCAGTATAGGCGACTCTTGAGCCTTGGAGTGAATAATATTTAGCAAAGAAAAAAAAAATTCTTTCTCATTTATTTTTCTTTACACACTCCTTTTTTTGCTATTTTTGTTTTACACATCTTTCTTTCCCTTTTTCCTATCTTTCTTTCTTTCCTTTTTCCCTTTCTTTTTTTTATTTCCTTCTTCCCTTCTTTCTTTCTTTCTTTTTTCTTGCTTTCTTTCTTTCTTTCTTTCTTTCTTTCTTTTTTCTTGCTTGCTTTCTTTCTTTCTCATTGATTTAGACTTAAACATAAATTTGACTTTCTTTCTATCTTGGAACCCTATTTTTTACTTTTATTTCTAAACTAAAAAAGGTAGACAGATCTTCTTACGGAGCTTTTATCATTTTGCAAAATAACAGAGCTATTAAGTCTATATTAATAAATATGCATAATACCCTCCGCCGAGAGTACGACTCATACTTTCATGCCAGAGTGCAATCTTCAAGTCATATGTATGAATACACACACACACACACACACACACACACACACACACACACACACACACACACACACACACACACACATATATAATTATAAATGATATATAAAATATATATATATATATATATATATATATATATATATATATCTGGATAGATATAGATATAGATATATGTATATATATATGCTCATTAATATTTCCTTTGTAAATTTAGTGAAAAATCTTTAAATATTCAAATTTACATTAAGGCCTTTTATTTAAATATTCAAAGCAATAAAACAATTTTTTCCAGCTTCATTAAATTTAATGAAATACGAAATAGTCAATATGAAAATGTAAACTAATTTTCAACTAATTTTCATTCAAATAATTTTACAATTTCTATTAATTGATTCCTCAGTATTTCTTCTATCGGACGGACATTGTGGAAAACTGAAGTTTATCAAGGTAACTACATTAGGGTTTGTCTGTTTTTCTAGTTCGGTGTTTTTTTTGAGGATGATTTTTAAACTTTTTACCTAATATTTCTCGAAAATAGCATTTAAGTAAAAAGATGCAATAAACATATTCAGTTTTTCAGTTGACTTTTTTTTTTAATAATCTTCGTATCATGGCTCAAAGTCATAATTTGGGGTCAGGCCTATTTATTTTTTGGTGCTCAAATGTATTTGTTTCAGTTTCAAAATCAATACAGTTTGAAAATTGTGTATTTGTAAATCACTAATTATACATAGAGACACACAGACTTTCACAAAGACACAGAGTTTGTAAAGTGAGTATGCATAAGAAAGAAAAAGAGAGGAGAGTGGGTAAAGAAATAGGAAAGGAAAAGTACAGTGATTGTAAACGTAGTCGATAACGCCACCCTTGGGGACGCTATGGGATTTATAGGGGAGCATTAACTGGGGGTTATGGGGGTGCTTTAATTTTAACAGGCTAGTAAAATCATTACCTTTTGCCCACGTATTTTAAGCGTTCATCTGCAACTGCAATATGAGTGTGGAGCAAATACTTGCAAGCTAAAATCTGTCAGTTTCTACAGTCTAACACTTGGTCTAACACTTTGATGTTCCCGCCACAGCTAACTTCCGGTAAATAGTGTTCCACTGTTGCATGATCTCTAGTCTATTTATCAGAGCATTGCTTTCATTGGAGCCATCAACCAGTGTAAGTATCTGAAAGGTGGGGTCTGGATATGATATAGAGCAATGGAAGGGCAAGTAAGTTGGGCGGTTTGATGGAAGAATTAATAAAGTATCCTTGACCTTTGTGCAGCTTTTATGACCGACAGCAAGGTGATTTATATCAACCCCGTTGCATCTCTAAATATTCCTCATCTTATTGTTTGAGTTGATTTCGCTTTCCTCATCAGCACCATTGGTCAGTGTTCGAGCTCAGCTTAGGGATTAACACAGAACATTGTTCTTTATTTTTAGCTATCAGTAAATTGTATACTATTCTTTTGTTTGTTACCAAAGGTATCCTCCTGTCTAGCAGTACTCTGCTTAACTTTTGGAATGTGTCCTTGGCCATCCTAATACGCACTTACCATCCACTGTCAAGACGCCTCCCAGATATTTAAACTTCTGCGTCTGCTTGATTCTAGTGTTTTAAATCGCGTATCGGGCTCATCCTCTTACTGACGACCATGCACTCCGTCTTCTGGTAGTTGTGGTAGTCCTTTCTTCTCACTCTCCATCGCTACCTTCTGTAGGAGATTTTGTAATTTCATTTCCGTGTCTGCTATCAGTACTGTGTCATCTACGTGTCATTTGAATACTGAACTGTTCTTCTTTACGGGAGAAAATGTTGGACGATTTCCTCAAAGATGAAGAAGAGACTCGAGGCGACAGAGATGTGGTTCTACAGAAGGACGCTAAGGATATCATAGACCGTGCGTGTGAGCAACGATGAAATCTTAGAGAGGTTGCAAACAAGGAGGAGGCTTATACTTAACATCAGGAAGAGGCAGCTGAAGTTTCTGGGACATATAATGAGGAAGGAGGGCCTGGAGAATCTGATACTCACGAGTCGAATAGTTGGAAAGAGAGACAAAGGAAAACAATGCGTAACATACCTGGCGGACATAAGCAAGTGGATGACAGAATGTGGACTGGGGAAGGAAGCAGAGGGAAGGAACTTGTTGAGAGCTGCAATGGATAGTGGAGAGCCATGATCGCCTACGTCCTGAAAGCACATGGCACATAAGAAAAGAAAATTGTACAGTTTCCAAATTCTACAGTGATTACGTCACTAACTCATTTCTTGGATTCTATAATTTAATATCAGTTTTGATTTATAAATTTTCGTTTTTCTACTATCTATCTCGAAAAAAGTCAAGTATTTTCCGTATTTTGAGGTTATCATTATATATATATATATATATATATATATATATATATATATATATATAATTCTCTAATCGTTTAATAGTATCTCTAACACATTAACATTTAATTTAAGACAATTATAGCTTTGGATATTTACTAAGTTCACCCTATATCTTACGAGTGTATCTCGAAAATACGTTTATTTTATTAAAATTATATGCAAAATAAATTACTACGTACAAATCTAAATATTATAATAAAAAATACATATAACTTATTATGTTACAGTGTAGAAATAAATGGTTAAAATAAAATTAGTGAACTATGAACAAGTGAGCTATAAATTGTGTGATCAACAATGACTCTTAAGCCCTACAAGATTTGCACTTTAAAAACTCTTGTTCTGATTTTTTACTGGACTGTACGTTGATATTGTAAGATTTCATGTTTACCGGAACTGTTTTTGCATACTTTATTAAGAGTAGACTCTGCGGTTAACACCCAATGGCGACAGTCTGTTCCATGCTTAAACGCGGTCTTTAGGCCTGATAATTGCGGTTAAGCATGAAACAGACTGTTGCCGTTGGGTGTTGACCTCAATGTCCACTTTTATATTTACATAAGCTCTATCTCTGATATTGAGCACGTAAATATAGCATACCTTAAAACATTTTTATCATATATATATATATATATATATATATATATATATATATATATATATATAGGCGAGACTATGGTTACGGACAGAGAGAGAGAGAGAGAGAGAGAGAGAGAGAGAGAGAAAGATGAACTAATCCTGATCAAAACAGGTAAATGGTGGAAATGCTATGGAAAATGGAATTGGCGAAGCAAGTTCAAATTCCGAGATAAACTGTTTATATTCTCATTCAATTTCCCTTGTATCAACGTTACGTTCTGCTGCGCCATTGCTCGATATCTTTGCAAATATCATGTTTTGATGGCTGAGAGAGAAATACATGAATGAGAGAAGCACTTAGGGGACCCATTCTCAATAAACTACTTTACTCTCTCAGATAATAACCAATAATAAACATTGCCAACAAAGAATTTAGCATTTATTGAGCTCATACAAAAAAAAAAAGACTTTCACTAGAATCTTTTATTCATCATTATTGCGTCATACAAATATTCTTTCCCTGCTTTCAATCAGTTACCACCACCTTTCAAGCAAACGGTCTATTGCATCATGAAATACTGATTCTTTTTTTGGTTTGATGAATTGTTCAAGGAATGCATCAATATATTCTCCTGTTTTGAACAGTTGACCACACGGTTAGAAATTAGCTAGAAGGTGAGAAGCGTGGCAAAAAAGTTTCATTTGAAAGAGATTCTCATCCCACCGCTATTTTCGTTTGATTAGTTTATCGGTCATTATCATATAGTAAATTAATCAGTCGACTTTCGGGCCTAAAACATGTCTTTCGAACGAGCCAATTGCTCAATGTAATGTGGCGCAGTAAGGGTTTTTTCAGTTTCCCACATTTTTAATTGTCAACATTTTGCATACAAATGACTCCTCTTATTTGTCGAACTAGAAAGAAAAAATTGTCATTTGGAATCCATTTTCTTATCTTCTACATTATTCTAGCGCCTGTACACCTAACAATGAAAACTCTACTTCAAACGCAGTTTTCCGATATCACTAAATTTTCAGTCGGCACCAAGAGATGTTTTGGTTCAATCGAGAAACGGAACAATTGCAGGTTCTTATCAACTTTCGCCTTAAATAACCTTTTCTTATCGTCTGCAAAATATTAATTTCAGTATTTTTTCTTTTCCAGATGTGGCGATACCTTTTGACCAACGAAGACGCAGCCAACGAATTTTTTCAGCAGCTTTCCTTCAGGAAAGACGACGAGGAAGAGGAGGAGGAAGAGGAAGAGGAGGGGGACAGTTATGACGAAGACAGCGAAGACGATGACGACGAAAAGGAACCACGCATTTTACAAGGTTGGGAAGCAATTCCTGATATTATTCTGGAGGAGATCTTTACGATTTTAACGCCGAAATATAGGCACCAATCTTCAATGGTATGCAGAAGATGGTACAACATGTTTTATTCACCAAGGGTAGGTATTTGAGTTTCTTGTACGGTCGCTTGTCATGTTTTGCATTCATTATGAATCATTTTTAGTTTTGAAATATTACTTAATGCTTATGACGCAATTAGTTTTTCTTTATTTCAATAGTATTGGTGGTGAGTGTAATTCAAGAGTAAAGTAAAAAAACATAAAGGTAATTATATATATATATATATATATATATATATATATATATATATATATATATGCCGGATGTAAATTGTCTAAATCGTGTTACAGCAAAACTGTCCCTCCCACAAAATGTTTAATATCTAAAATCCACTAAAGTAAATTGAGTTTCATTTTTCCAGCTTTTCAGATAAGACGTTTAGCCATCTTGACACCATTTGTCGTAAGAATCACTGAGAAACGCTTTGAATTATTCATCTAGAAAGAGAACAGGTTAAAAGCGTTTTGTGTTAGCCCCACTGTCTTCTCAACTGAGCAATGGTGAGAGGAAAAATTCACCCAAGCCTTCAGTAATGGTACTAACATTCATAATCTAGCTTCCGTCTTCACAGTCCATTCAAAAATCATCAAGAGAACGGAGAATAAGTTTTAAAAAAGAGTGAACAGTAGAGAGTAAAATTAGGAGGCCACAACAGGAAGAAGGATCATCATTTCAACTTAAAGCTGAAAAGATCAAAGATCCAACTCAACCCACAAGATGTTTGGCACGTGAGAGTGGAGTTTCAGCTATGACAGTCTTCATGAACTCTCGATCCTTAGTTATGATTAATGAATGATGAACATGTCATTTTCATTTATGATCGATTTCATCACGATCCTTCTATTAAGCGTGGAGAGTAATTATACGGTCTTATTGTTCAAAGTAGAGTCCAATAGTGTTATAAAAACCTCGGTGAATTCCAGTAAGATATCTTTAATCATTTTTAAGATACAACAGTTCAAAGTTTCATCTAACAATTGGACAATTTCGCTGTTACACGATTTGGACAATTTTGCTGTTACATTCGGTGTGGATATATATATATATATATATATATATATATATATATATATATATATATATATATATGTATGTATAAAGTGTTAGATTTAAACAGCAACAATACATGCAAAAAAGTTTTGTTAAATTCAACCGAGAAGGTGCATCTGTTGAATTTTCTATCGTATTTTTCTTATCTTCAAATAAGATGTTATACAACCGAATGCCAGTCATGGATAAACTATCGAAAGTTCAATTTTACTCTGTTATTTGTTCAAGAAATTTCGACTGTCTCGGTCTTTATAAAGAACTGGGTATTATCAGCGTAGCATTTTTACAGCGCTAAATTCGAATCACTTGGAGTGTGGCGAGATTGCACTGGAAATATGCGTAATAATCGTAATAACAAGAAATACGTATGAATATTTGATTCATCCTTTTCTGGTGCGCGGTCAATCTTTACGTCACATCCGGCATGCAACACAATTTCCCGAAACATCTCAAACAACTCGAATTGCGCTGAATTAGTTCATCCCACTGAAACTGATAGCAGCATGCGTCATGGTCTAAAATTCAGATACAAACATCGCTAGGTTTTCTGAATGACCAAAGACATTTTTCTAAAGAGATCTACTATCTACTAATACACCCGAGCATACAAATATTGGACCCTGGTAAAAATTGACATCGTTTTTCAGAGTGCTGCAACTTTCTGTCCCGTCTATAAATATAGAGAAGCGTCGTTTATTTAATCTGACGGACAAAGAATGAGTTGGAGTCGTCGTGAGTTTCTATTGGTATTCAGTTAGACTCGCTTTATTTCAGGTCGAATCATGAAATGAAACCTGCCGAAATGAAATGGTAAAAATTTCGACCATCATTGATCGGAAAAGTCCAATAACAGAACAGCGTTTGCATTGTTGCCAAGTTTTTCTAAATAAATAATGGATTTTTTTAATTTATTAATTTCACATATTTTTATCAATTTACGCGTTATTTCTAGGAGAAACCCATATTTGAGTAGACGCCCATTATATTTAAAGTAATATTTTATATTGTCTACCGGCCTGAATATGTGAGAAATCTTATTAAAGAAGAGCATCTTTTTTTCTTTTAATAAGATTCCTCCAATATTCAGACCAGTAGACAATATCAAATAGTGTTTAAAATAAACGGAGTGTCTACACAAACATTGGTATCCACCGAAAATAACGTTTAAAGTTATATATATATATATATATATATATATATATATATATATATATATATATATATATATATAAAACATATATGAGATAACGATATATATTTTTATATATCAAGAACAATATTGGGGAAAATGTAAAACAAAGTAGGAAAAGTTTTCTCGTGACGCTAAACTTTTCCCACTTTGTCTTACATTTTAGTCTTTAGGATTTCATCGGACTAAATTTGTTGTGTTGGTGCAACTACACATGCGCACGAACGAAGGATGATGGGAATTTTTAATTAAAAAAAGTCTAGCCGATTTCGTTTAGATTCTTTTTCTTTTTCTTTCCATCACTTTTGTTAGTAGATATCCCACACTGGGATAATAGAATTTTCGCCAGCATTTCATATATATATATATATATATATATATATATATATATATATATATATATATATATATATATATATACAATACGCTGAGAATGCTAGAAAAGGCACTCAGATATTTTTCTTTTTATTTCTATTAGGTATGGGAAAGGTTTACTCTCTTGGAACGTTCGTTCACGCGAAAGAAATTCAATTTATACATGGGTTATCAACACGAAAGCGACCCCCGAAAAATTCAGATGTGCTTGTCTCGCGTTGGTTCCTTCTTTAAGACTATCATTATTCCACCAATGAAAGATTACTACAACCTGTACGAATTTCTGCGGATTCTTGGTTACTTTCTGTCATTCTTTGACAGGAACCCAATGCCGCACTTGCACACGTTTCGCTTCTCTTTCCACTGCGAATTTTGGGACAAAAATGGTTTGACTATCCACGGTACCGGTGGTGATATCTGGGACAAGACAAAAAAGGTTATAAGTCACATGAGAAATCTTAAAGAACTTCAGTTGTCTGATTTGTTACTAGAGATGAAAGATGCCCCGAATCTTTTAGATGCCGCCTACGCCTCAAGCGATGACACTCTGCAGATATTGTCTCTTAGAAATTGCACTAATGAGCCATTTCCCTTGGTTCAGATCGCTCAGTTCTCTGCCCTTCAAAAACTAATTATCTCTCCAATAAGCCTGGATGACGAGACTGTCCTTTTATTTGGTGGCACACAACTGACCGAAATCCAAATTGTTCAGGACCATCTGACCTGTGCTTGTTTACCCGTTTCCGCAGATGCATGGCGTTTTCTCAAAGAGATGATCCCTTATGTGAGGATCATTTTAAAAGCAACTGGGCGATTTAAAGGAGAGCTTTTATTGCAGCCCAGTGCTCCCGTCTACTCAATCATTTACGAGAACCCACACAGCCAACTGAAGCCATCCGTTGCCATGCAGCTCTCTGACTTTTACAACGAACAGTTGGAAATGTTTGCGCAAACAAAACTACCCCGAATCCACGGTTCCCGCTCGTTCTCCGAGCGCGCCGACACAAATATCATTTTCTTAGTGAAGAGCTGTCCCAGACTTCACACACTCATCATTCGACAGAGGCTCTCAACTGCCACCGTCCTCATTCTTTTACGAGAAGCGAAGAACCTGAAAAAGCTTTATATACGCCAAAATGCCATTTTGAAAAAGTTTGACTGGCCCCGTTCTTCGGAATGGTCCACAGATTATTATCGTTGGTTAAAAAGGACTTCTTACTCGTGGCAGTCATTCATCGATTATGTCTCCAGTATATTAGGTTATAAATGGCGACCATTAGTGGATAAAGAATTTCGACTTTTGTCTTTAACGTGATTATTATTTTATTATTATCGTATGTTTGAAATGAAAAAAAAAGAAGACTTTAAACCCAGTAACAATCACAGACATGCAACATTGGAAATGAAAAATATAAAAAAGCACACATGAATGTGAATACTGCAATTTATTAACAAAGTAAAGAATAAAATATTGAAAAATTAAAAAAAATGCTTTTTTTTATTCATCGAAGATTTGAAATTAAAACGATTGTGCAAGTTTATGGATGTATGCGTGTTTTATGTATGTTTGAACGTGTGTATTTATGTATGTGTGCATATCTATATATGTGTAAGTATCTTTGGGAGTGTGTATTTATGTATACATATCTGTGTCTATTTGGATGTGTTTATGTATGTATATGTGTGCAGAATATATATGTGTGTGCATATTTGTGCGTGTGTATTTATGTTTATAGGTGTGTGTATTTATGTATTTCATTGAAAATGACTGTCAAGGTACGTCTGTTGAGTCTTTATTATATTTTTCTACTGAAAAAAAGAAAAGAAACAAAAACCAACCATTGGCAACATCAGCTATGAACACGGTCACAATGTATTGGCTGTATTCGAGAATTAAAAAATGTCTCCCTTTCAGTAACTTACAAAACATTTACAGTAAAAATTTGTGAAAATGAGTATAAGGTTAGTCGAAAGCACGTGAAACTAACAAGAATTAGGGTAATTTCTAAAAACACTAAGTCCCAAAAAGAAATGTTTTGTTTGTATATAAGAAAAGAACAAAACAAAATTCACGGATATACACCACACTCGAAAAAGCCAAAAGGAAAAGAAACAACATAGGGTTCAATCAAACACCAAAAAACCCATAAAAAACAATGGTAAGAAGAATATTCATTAAACTCATATACAGGCACTTCCCCTGATCAAGCATTCTACATAAAATATTCAACAGAAATACAGTAAAAATCGGATACACCTGCACCAAGAACCCGACATAAACAATAAAAAAACCCAAGCGAAAAAAAACATAAAAAAACAAATCACCCGCCCAAACCAAACACACCTGTAACTGCAGAGAAAATAATGAATGTACTTTAAATAGCAATTGAATAATAGGAATAATTGAAGGACTTCTGAAAACTGAAACTGCACACAGAAAACATCTTTTACAAACAGTAAATACGCGAACAGCACAATGTTTTCAAAATACATATGAGAATTTAAAAACAAAAAAAACAAAAAAAAACAAAAGAAATTGCATCAAGAGTATCAAAATAAGGAAAAGCAACCTACAATAATAAATCCCAAAACTGTAAACTTTGTTTGGATGAGTAAATAACCATAATTTCCTTCCCCGCAAGCCAATATAATTACTAAATAAACGATCAGATCTCAAAATCCAGACAAGAAAACAATTTATTTTTAAAATGCACGCCAAAACCGGCCAAATATATGACAGAAAAAATTTTCCATGTGTCAAAAAAATTTTTTTGAGAACATATTTGATATCTCTTAAGTATGTGAAACACTTTTAAATGATAAAAAAATCACCTAAGAGAAGTAAAGACACGATATTGTAAGCGAATTATGTAAAACTGACTGAATGAAAAATTATCACAGGTTTTTAAGAAAAAAGTTTTTGTGATATTTTTTATTAGCCTCTAAGTATAAATATAACTGCCTTACATATTCACACAATTTAAAGATACTATTAACTATTATTAGCATCAACACAAAAAGTTAACAATGTTAGTTTTTTTTTTCGATTAATCAATAATTTTTCACAGTTATGCATTTTTATAACTAAAACACAGACGTTATTAAAAATCATCTTTTGCTGGTTTTAAATCCCTTATAAATGGTGTATAAAAATTATTTACCATCAAAACTACATTTAAACAGCTCTGAACCTTTGCCACTTTCAAAAGAAAACATAAGATAAAACAAGAGACAGAAAACTTGTTGACTCCTTTTATATATTATCAATTGGACTTCTGCTGCTACGTCTCACTGATGACAGAGATTTTATATCAGGTTGATAATTAGTAACCTTGAGAGATATGCATGCATTACTAGTTTTATTCGTCATTTATTCCTGTTACGAGACTTAGCATTGTTCATCACTGAGAATAAAGATTCACAAGCATATGTAGATGAAAACATGGATTGTAATGCTTTAAATAGAGAAAAGTTTTTGAAATGGTATTCCAAGTCCTTAATACTTCATTTTCTGCCTTTCTCTCTGATACTTCCATCTCTAATTGCTCCTTTTCAATATTTTCCGAGTCAACTCTAAGTTCTACAAATTTCTGCTTCCAAATTGAGCTACTCTGAAATTCAATCAACTGAATTTTAAAATCATCATCCATGTCTATCTATGAAAACATTTGCAAGTTCAGTTAACCCAGTTTGATACTGTCTGGAAATGTAACGAATTTTACTGTCTCTTAAACAGTTGATTCGATGATGTTTACAGACAGCTTTTGGAGAGATTGGAGGTTTGTTCTGTCATCTTTTGGAAGATCATCGATGTAACTCTGTAGGTTTGGGAAGTATTTAAATCCCTAATTGTTTACCGCCCTCTTAAAAATTTCTAGTTGCATTTGAAAAGCATTTATTTAAACAAAAATAACATCAAGTTTATTACCAGAGCCATGTCATTGAATATTCAAGTCATTTAAATGTTCACAAAAATCTGCAAAAAACATTAGTTTAAAAACCCCCATGGTTTCAGATAATTCTTGGTAAGACACTTGTTGATCAACCAAAAAGCGCTTTATCTCATTTAAGCATTTAACAAATCATTTGATAAGTAAACCTCGGCTGAGTCATCGAAAATTTGTTGCACATTTTCAGTCCTTTATATACAGATTCTACCTCATTCAGTAAAAATTGAAACTGTCTTTTATTTAAAGCCCGAGCGGAAATGTAATTAATAACCTTGGTAACTGTTTGCATCATTTGTTGAAGTTCCTTTAGAACAGCTTTTGCATACGAAGCTTCCTCATGTATGATGCAATGAAAACCTATTAGTGGATGATCAACATCTTTTACAAACAGAGTAAACAAATCCTGCCTTCTCACCAGTCATGATGTGGGCACCCTCTATTGTGGTAGATACGACTTTTGAAATATGAATTTGCCGAGTAGATAATTCGTTCACAACTGTTTCATATATATCAGCTCCGGTAACCATCTCTTCGCATACTTCATCACTCCTACAAAATTGAAAAAATATGCCAAGCTTAGCTGATGATGTAATGTCCGTACTTTTATCAACACAAATAGAAAAAAAAAACTTACATGAAGACAAATCTTTTGTTACTTGTTCAGCTGTATTCCTTTCCCATTTAAGTATCCTATCCTCAACTGTTTTTCTACTCACAGACAAATCTGTAATGCGCTGAATAATCTTTTCCTTTTCTGAAAAATGGCCAAAAAGGAAAGGCATATATTCTAGCCAAGCTTCTTTAATATACTTCCCATCACTGAGTGGTTTTCCATGTCGGGCAATAACTTTTGAAACATCAAAACTAACAGCAGCTATGTTGGAATGATCGTGCCTGAAATAAAGTTCATAAAAGTATCAGCCTGTTTTTTTTTTGTCTTTGCTCAGTTCATAAGAAATGAATTCTCTTTGTTCCTTCTCAGTTTTATTGCTTAGGTTCTTATGAACATTTTTAAAATATCTTTTTACAGAAGAAGTCCTACAAACAATTGTTTCAGAACAGAAAATGCATAAGACTTTATTGTGTTTCTTAATCAGGCCAAATTTTTGAGTCCAGTATTCTTTAGTTTTTTCTAATATCCTCTTCATTTGAATGACATCATTTCTTAGCTGATTATCATGACATTCTTCACAATCTGTTAAGGGCGGAAAATAAAAATACACGAGATAATGAACATCTGAAGATTGCGTTGAAGTATGGAACAGACTGTTGCCGCTTGGTGTCGACAACAGTGACCGGTAGTGTTCTGGTCAGCATCTTTATCTTTTTAATATATTAAATCGCTCTGCAAGTTTGGTTTTCCTACTTGAAATTGAATACTTTTTAACGTGTACGATTTTAACAAATATTTCAGTGTTTGTTTAATTCATGTATGTATGTAAAAATATATATATATATATATATATATATATATATATATATATATATATATATATATATATAGTTTTAAGGTGTGCTATATTTATGGGATAAAGTGCTCAATATCAGAGATAGTGCATATGTAAATATAAATATAAAAGTGAACACTGAAGTCAACCCTCAGGGCGACAGGCTGTTTCATGCTAGACGCAATCGTCAGACTTGACGATTGCCTCTAGAATGAAACAGCCTAATATTTCTGAGTGTTGTCTTTAATGTTCACTTATATATATATATATATATATATATATATATATATATATATAATTATTTTTTATAAAAAAATTATAACATAAGTATGTTATAAAATCACTAAAAATAGCCATTTTGTTTCAACACACTCTGTGTCTTATCAAGTGATGATGTTGAAAATAAAATAAATGGTTTTAAAAGTTTCAGATTAATTAACGATCCTACACTAGGGGGAACATTGTTACAAAAGCTAGAATAACCAATCAAAAAACCAAGTATAGAAAGATTCAAAAGCTTGACAACAAAATCCTGCTATTATAGCTATTTAGATCTTTAAATACGTGTAATATTAAAAAATTTTTTTTACTAACTAATAATTATAAATTTATATGATAAAATTTAATATTAAAATTAAAAACTGGCAATTTTTAAAATCCAAATTTAATCACTATTAAGTTTAAAAACTACAAAATTATTGAGAAAAAAAAAAAATATATATGTTTATTCAATTCATTTCTTCATTGAAATTACGTTGACAAGACAAAAAGCTACAATTCGTCCGGTCATCTGATAATACATGTATATATTTTTTTTTTCCGTTTTTATTTTAAAGTTTGTGAATATGGTCTTAAACTCACGCGTGACACAACAAAAAACACAATCAGATTATAATACATACGCATCTAGACATATT